TTTTACAACCGACATGTCACCTTTGGGTAGAGGATCCAATAGAACTATTCGACCAATCTGAAAACATTCTGTTGTTTTCGAATTCTAAATTTAAAAAGATGTAAATGCCGTTTGTTTTTTTTTATATTCGCGTGTGGTTGGCAAACGACACGACTTAAAAGCCAGCCTAGTAATGAGATTGAGATTAAATAAATATAAATATAGGAGTATACATATACATAATAATATAAAATTTGAACAAACAGACTACAGATGATCAATATTATCGTAGTTGTGACATGGTGGTTGGTGCTGATGGGCATGGTGGGCATGGTGGGCATGGAGGGCGCCGTGTTCTGGAGACCGCAGTCGCCGCGCTCGGCCGCTCCGCCCGCGGACTGGCCGCAGTGTCCGCCGCCACCCGCGGCCTGCCGACCACACGACGGCCTCCTCGACGACAGCTACCTCCAGCATTACAACTACACAGTCGAAGGTATGCACTTTCTTTTTAAAATACAATATTTCAAAGTAAATAAATCCTGGAAGTTGGCTTATTGTCGTACTGGCCATTTTGATCTCTAATATCTCCTCTTCGGTTAGGAATTCCAATTTCAAATTCATACAGCTATTTACACATGCATTTGTTTTACGAAAATAAAAAAAGTATAGCGGTGCGGCGGTACCGGCCCGGCCGACGGCGCTAAATAAAACATGTTTGTACTGTCTAATGACAACAAATATTTGGTATCAGCATTGCACCCGTGTAAAGCCGGGGCGGGTCTCTAGTTTGTAATATTAGTAAGGAAGTAAGGATTTATTTAGTATCTATACCTTCAGTACTTACATATACATAAAATTGGAGTGTCTTTTTGTAATACTGAAATAACCGTTTTTTAGTACATGCATATGAATATAAATACTAAAACAGACACCAAAATAACATTTTTACAATTTTTGTCCATCTGTCTGTTTGTGAATTAACAACTTGGCTATTGTACAATAATTGGGAAGCATTGAATAGTATTGAAAGTCGATTGAAAATTAAATTAAATCAACTGCCTAAAAAATAGGTACCAAGCTTCTAGTTTTAAAGATGACAATACTTTTATCACAGATAACATAATATTACATACAGATACCCCATCCCATACAAGAAAATGGTTCCTTCCTAACTCGGGCTATTTTATTTCGCCGCCGTAGCCGCTAGATGTCTCTAGATCTGAAGCAGTTCGGATTACTAGTGGGTGCTTAGTAACAAAGCATGAAAATAGATGGCAGTCAATTCAGTTTACATGACATCTGTTTTGCAAAGATATGTATATAATAGATATGTAGGTAACTGTATCGTGTACCTCATTAGGGACGATTCAAGATTCAATGTAAATGTGTAGGTATAATATCGTTAGCCGACACTCTGCAGATATGGCTTATGTGCCAATGTACCTATTATGTTATGGTTTATTTTACATTCCATGCCTATTTTTTTGATATGTTGTAACGCGTCTGCGCTATACGTATAGCCTGATTTTGATACGTTTATACTCGTACGTATCAAAATCGGGCTATACGATTTTTTATTTCAATCGTTATATGTATGAGACTGATTTTAGCTACAATTAATTTACTGGTATATACCTCATGTATTCTACGATGTACGCCTCTTTTACCTAATGAGAATTCCGCTATACCTTATATATAAATTTTGTATCACAGTGTTAGTTGCCATATTTCTCCCACATTTTGATGAAATTTGATATGTATACTTGCCAGGTCTGAGGTAGGGTTGTTATCTATTTTTTATACCCCTAAGTCATAGGGGTGGCCTACCCCGAAAAAATATTTTTTTGTATTATGGACAATTTTTTATTTATTTATAATGTTATATTGAAAATACATACACGCCTAAATTTTCACTCGTCTTTCACCAACCCCTATTTTTAATAGCGATATTCTTACAAATATTATAAATGCTAAAGTAACTCAGTTTGTCTGTTTGTCTCGCTTTCACGCCAAAACTACTGAACTGATTTAATTGAAATTTGGTAGACAGATAATGTAGACCCTGAGAAAGGCTACTTTTTAATGCGAAAAAGTATTGAAAGGGGAAATGAATGGCTATATGAGGATATCGTAATTTTTAAAGTCAGATCTTGTAAGATTAAGTGAACAGGGTCGGTCTAGGTTTTTCATTATTAGAAGTGCGAAATTGTGTATATTACAATAAAATTTAACGAGAAAATATTATAATGATGTCACTGGGACACTCATTGCCTTACTACTGCTTACTACTATATCGTCCGTTAGTCGCGAACTTTCTGGAAACACGAGAGGCGCGCTCCTATTGGTCGGTCGGCGCGGTTACCGCGCGTAGATGAGTATATGCGGTAGACGAGTCTCACGGCGCCGCAGCGTAAGTACTTACTATACATACGTAGTATACATATGAATGTTACAAATGTTTTTATTACGAGTAATATTACTCTGTTATCTAGGCAAGTAATGTGTGCTTATTTTGAACTTGATAACATTCTGAATTACTCGTATATCTTTCAATATATTTAGCGGTATAAACCAGGTTATGTACTACTACTAGTATTGTTAGTGAGGGATAAAGTTGATGAACAAAAATAAAACAATATTCGTATTAAAAATATATTCATCTAATATTTTTGGCATTATTTTTAAGTTTCTTCCAAATACAAGGGGTCTGACATGGGGTGTTATGTACCTACATTAAAAGATAATTTTTGGAATGTATGAAATGTAAGAAAGAAATGTATGTACCTACATTAAAATATAATGTTTGAAATGTATGAGATGTATGAAAGAAATGTATGTACCTACATAAAAAGTTCATTTTTGAAATGTATGAAATGTATGAAAGAAATGTATGTACCTACATTAAAATATAATTTTTGAAATGTATGAGATGTATGAAAGAAATGTATGTACCTACATAAAGAGTTCATTTTTGAAATGTACGAAATGTATGAAAGAAATGTATGTACCTACATTATAAGATAATTTTTGACATGTATGAAATGTATGTACCTACATTAAAATATAATTTTTGAAATGTATGAGATGTATGAAAGAAATATATGTACCTACATAAAAAGTTCATTTTTGAAATGTATGAAATGTATGAAAGAAATGTATGTACCTACATTAAAAGATAATTTTTGACATGTATGAAATGTATGAAAGAAATGTATGTACCTACATTAAAAGATAATTTTTGACATGTAGGAAATGTATGAAAGAAATGTATGTACCTACATTAAAATATAATTTTTGAGATGTATGCACCGTACAATAACAATACACGTTAAACATCATACCACAGAGTCATACGCAAGTTAAAAACAAACTGCTATGATATTAATGAGAAAGGAAAATCAACTTATGGTATTCGAGTTAGGGTCGATTTCTCTCTTTTTTTTTAAATACTATTTTAATCTTACCAGTTGCCAGTATTCGAAGACAGCTACGATTCGTACTCGATATTTTAAATTATTATGTAATCGATTTTTCAGTACAAATGTAAATAACCAACGACACTAATAATGTACTACTATATTCCGTTCTTTGAAACGGAACACTGCTATAATACAAAATAATGAAAATTTACTGTTCACAACGACTCATTAAAAGCATCATCGAATAATGCGCTGTAATAAAATCCTGTTATCGATTATTCAAAAAAATCGATAATACATGTATTTATTTTTAATATGACAACACTTCATACATAAGTATTATTGGAAATAGTATTACTTGCTTGTTCGGCTATTTTTAATTTACTTAAAAATTTTTTATATGTTTAATTTACAATAATAATATATTAAGTGCTTATTATTGGAAAATATAAAAAAGACATTTAATTAGGCCGATACAAATGACGACAATGGCATCTATGAAAGCATTTTGAAAACATTGAGCCCCGTATTAGCACTGATTAAAGTGTAATTAAGTACTGGAAAATAACAAAATGAGTAAATATATGAAAATTACTTTTCTAAACGCATTATTTCATTTTAACATGTATATATAACTTTTTAAAAATTGATTAAACATTTTTGAAAACACAGTTTTGTTTTTTAAAACGTTTGCAAAACTATGAAGAATTCCATCGATACCAATCACGCCATCTATATGCAACTTTTAGCAATAATAATGGCTACTTCCTCATTGAGTGCCACTGCTTTTATTCAAATTTTCATCTCTATTTTTAACCCTAGGACCTAGACTATCTGCGTACCTTCCATTTAAACCGGTTATTTACTTTTGGCGTGAAAGTGAGACAGACAGACAGACAGACAGAGTTACTTTCGCATTTATAACATTAATAAGTATTGATGTACAGGAGTCGTTACATCCGGGCCGCTGCGCTGGCCGGCACTGCATTCCGTATTTTGATATGATATGCTCTTGTTATTCCTGCTGCCTTCTACCAAATATATTCTATAACTAGCTGTACTCGCGACTTAGTCCGCGTGGAATTTAAAAGATTTTTCTATAATATAAGTAGCCTGAGTTACTCCTTACTACATCAACTACATGCCAAAAAAAGTCACGTCAAACGTTATTTTAGTATATGTACCGTATTTATATTCATGTGCATGTACTAAAAACTGTTATTTCAATATTACAAACAGACACTCCAATTTTATTTATATGTATAGACATAGATATAGTGTTATATTCTTCTATTGTCTTTAATAACCATAACATCGTTGGCTGCACCCACCCCAACGTCCCACATACAGTCCAAATAATTAATATTGAAATATGTTTGTTGTAGGCGAGGTACTACTGGTATACCGCAACACAGATGACATTACGTTATCGTGCAAACAAAACTCGACACTCCTGAACAGCAATTCGCTGCCGAGCTTCCTCACCCGCCAGGAGATCCGTCTCGTCCGCTTCAAGTACTGCGACGTGCCAGACGACTCGTACGCGGCCGTGCTGCACCGACTCAACATCACAGTTCCACATGTGTTGGAACTATACTTCGCCCAATGTCCTGCGTTCACTAAAATTCACTTCAAAGGACTGACTATTAAGAGTCTCAGTACATATTGCGATAGGCTGAAAGACCAAATGGCTAACTTCAGCGGCGACTGGTTGGAACCGCTGACTGAGTTGACACACTTCTACGGCGCTCATGTGAGATTGCCGCCCTTATGTTCTCCCAACCAGCTGCGTAACGTGACGGTGTGGGGGAGCACCATCAGCGGGGGGTACTGCGGGAGACTGCAAAACCTCTCCTTGAGTGATGTCACGTGGGAGGGGGCCGCGAGTACCTGGAGTTGGCTCGCCAGCTGTACCCACCTGCGATATCTCAAACTCGACAACATATTCAAGAAGCGGACGGCGTCCAGTGGCGCCGACACACTAGAGGTGACTAGTGAATATTTGATAGCTTTGACATACTATAAAACTGAAGAGTGTGTTTGTTTGTTTGTTTGAAGGCCCTAATCTAAGGAACTACTGGTTCTAATTGAAAAATTCTTTTTATGTTGGACAGTCCATTTGTGGGGGAGCGCTTTAAGTTATATAACTTTACGCTGCGACCGACAGGAGCGGAGCATCAGCGAAAAATGTTGCAAAAACAGGGGAAATTATTAATATATGATGCCCTCAATCATAGATGATCGCGGTAGTGTTTTTAATAACCACGCGAATGAAGTCGCGGGCACAGCTAGTAAATAATAAAATCTATTTATACATATATATATATATATATGTATACACATGGATCACAGAAATAATATACAAAATAATTGAAGTCTGTTAATATGACAGCGTGTCATTGTAACTTGCTTGCTTGCTTGCTTGCTGAGCTGCGCGCGCACGTCCGGCTGGGTCCATAGTGCTACTATGCTCTTATCATAATACTAGCTTCGCCTGCTTCATATTTGATATTATCAGCCAACCTGTTATTCTATAGCTATATTACTGTAAAGTTTCATGAAAGTCCGTTCAGTACTTTTTGAGTTAAAGAGTAACAAACATCCAGCCATACTAACAAACTTTCGCATTTGTAATATTAAGAGGCCTATTACAAAATGATGCCGCTCAACTTTAGGTTTAATCGCATGGATTTACGCACACACACAGTAATACACGCACACAGACGCAAATAACCGTGTAGCGCAATCGGTGTGGATTTAGTATGAACCATTTTGATCCTTGTAATATTTTAATTAATAATGTGATATGTTTCTACTTAACTAAGTAACATAAACTACTTATTGGATTTTTTAAAATAACGTGATTTATCTTAATTGTCAAAGTGCTAATAATGACCATATTTTTTTATTATATTATTCCTAGAGGGTTGATGTCAGGATGCTGGCCGATTGTACAACTAAAAGCCAAAACCTTAAGTAATATAAAAATAATTGGGATAAGGACAAGAAGATGAAATTGCTATAACATAAATTTACTAATTAATTCTTCTTACATATTAATTCAGTTTATTTATTAATAGATACAATATAATTTATTATAAGAGTCGGATACATTATTGCCATATTCACTTGTTCTAAATATTATACTTAGCAAATAATTATTTTATTTATATATAATAGTTGTGTTTTCAAGGCTTTGTTTTGATTTAAAGGTCCCATCCTTATATGTATATTAGGTGTATCCGCGACTTCGTCAGCGTGGTATAATGAAATTGACCAAATAAAGGAAATATATTTAGATTATAACCTAAAAAAGTTTCATTGTTTCACAAAAACTACGCAGATTTTGATTCGTTGTTATTTAATAGACAGAATAGATAGACTCAAGAGGAAGGTTTATATATAACGACCCAATACTGTACACGGATCTTTAAACGCGCGATAACCTATATATCCCATATTCACGCGGGCGAAGCCGCGAGCTAAAAGCTAGTCACTAAATAAAAACATTTATAATGTTGTTGACTTTTCACCCAAACACGCATAATTATTTGACATAACTGTACAGTAATGAAAGTCCAACGAGTATAATAACAGAATGGCTGCAATTTAGAAATATCTGTATTGTGTAAAATAAAATAAAGTAAATTGGATAAAGTATCTCTAAACATTAAGGAATATAATTTATATATAATTTGGTAATTTATTTACAATCCACATTGCATACTAGATGATATAACACAAGTCAAATGTACGTAAAAATAATAATGGTATTTTTATAAACAATAACCCTATTTTAATTTAGAAAAAAACTACAAAATAAACATAAAGTAAAATTGGTTTACATTTTCTTACATTTTTCTCTCAGATAAGCGTTATTTTTAAAAATACTAAAACGTTCTCTTTTTTAATTTTAACAATTAATTGCCATTAGTGTGACGTAATACCATGCTCTTGTGCTTTTCATAGTGCAGCAGGGTAGGTAGGTTTTATTTGTAGCATAACTGTACTTTTGTCTTGGCATGCTAAAATAAATATTATATATATATATATTTAACAACAACTTTAAATTAATATTCGTAGAAATAAGTATATATTAGCAAAATTAATTAAATATTACTTAAATTATCAAAATGGTTTAGTCGCTCTATGCTAATGTTCACTAACGAATGTCTTATCTTAGCGGTGTTGTAAAAAATAGCATAGGTCCTACCTCGACGAGCGCTAGCGCAGCACTGAGAATTTACTTTTGGCGCAATGGAATTTATACAACTTTAAATTATTATTATTGTTTATTTTTTTCTTAGAAACTTATATATTTTTTTTATATTTCTAATTTACAAGTATATTAACTTTATTATTATGTTTTTTTTATGCAAAAATTTCGTTGTATTTATGAGAAAATTAGAAATGATTATGGCAAAGTTTTGTTGAAATTTCGGGTTTCATTATGATCAATTTTTTAGATATTTAAGTTGAAAATGAAAAAAAGGACGATGCTATCTCAATTTATTAATTTTAATTTAGTAAAGTTATCAAGTTTTAGTAAAGATATCATATCAATTTATGTTTGTTTATTAATGAACGACGACCCCAAACTTCTGTCTCTTAGCGTTTTTGTGTGTATTAGTAATACTGTGTGTGTGCGTAAACTATTTTAGAAATTAGGAAGACTAACAAAGAGAAAATTAACATTTCAAAGATGTAGTTTTTAAGATTAGATATCTATCTATATAATTCAGGAATAAAAATGTATATCCGACTCTTAATTTCTTAGAACCAGAACCCCAAAGACCCTGCTTTTAGGCCAAAAAATGTGAAAGGCCTCTTAATGATATTATGTCAACCGTTATTGTAACAGTCTGGAACACAAGTTAATGTATAAGTTATTCACTACAGCTATTTTACAGTATCTTCAGTACAGCGACCTGAAGTGGATGGGAGAGAGGCGGCTGCAGTTGACGCTGAGTAAAGTCCAGAGCATCTCGTACAACATGTCCCACTACTGGGAGGTGGTCCGCGGGAACTGCACAGAGGTGAGCATGCACGCACACACACACGCACACACACACGCACACACACACACACACGCACGCACGTGACTATTAATGATTGTATCAAACTTCTAGAACATATATATCATAAGCATATCTATTAATTAATTAAAAATATGAGAAGTGTGCTTTAGCGGATCACGCTGGCGAATGGTTGTCGTTGACGGTAACATAACTTATTTTTTTGGGGTGAGCCACCCTTAACACTTAGGCATATAAAAATTAATTATGTCTATTCCCAAACCTTCTGAATATACATTAAAAACATTTAAATTCAGAATGCAAACAATGTGCAAATCAAATTTGCAATCGGTTCAGTAGTATAGGAGTCCATCGCGGACGAACAACGTGACACGTAATTTTTGTATATAAAGATTTAATATCGGCACTCGTCTCGTCGTCAGCTGGCCGTGAACATCTCCGTACGTGGGTCAGTGAGGTGCGACTGGCGTACGTATTGGTTCGCGCGGACGCTGCAAGCGTGTCCTCGCCACGTGGTGTGGGGGGCCGTTCCCAGCTGTACGCAGCTGTACGCGCGCGTACCTCTGCCCGCCAACCTCACGAGCGTGCGGCCGGAACACATGCTGCGTCCACTGAAGGTAACTATACCAATCAGCTATCAAACCTTGGAACCTACATACATACGCCTTGGTATCGAGACCGCTGCGAGCAAATTGTCTTTCAAGCGAAAATCAAATATATATATATATATATATATATATATATACTCATTTCCAGATTATTAGGTATGTATTTATGTATATATAGATATATAGATGTGTATATTTATTTGTAAATGATAATAATGTTTTTGTAGAAAATATCTGACTTAAAATACATAGCACTGTCAATGTTATCTGATTGAACAGAGATTAAGTGCGTAGCGGTTTCTATGTTGATTATCGCATGCCTAATCCTCGTTAATGTAAATATAATTAAAACAATATTTATTTAAAAGAGCAACACACAAGTTTCTTGCTCATTCTTCATGTGATGAGTCTGCATTCCGATTGAGCGGTAGAATGAAAAAAATGACTATTCGAAAGTGCTTATATTAGGTTTATTTGAATAAAGATATTTCTACTCTATTCTTCTCGCTAACACTTTTTAAAAATATCTCACTAATATTATAAGTGCATTTGTATGTATGAATGGAAGTTTGTTACTCTCTCATAATATGTATAGCTTATACACCAGAATAATACAGGCTATATCACGCGGATGAAACCGCAGGCATAGCTAGTTTTTAAATAATTTTGATATACATATTATATATTGAAATGTAACGCGGGTGAAACCACGGCCACAGCTAGCTAGCTACGATGTAATATGTACTTACATATATTGAAGAACTTGTATATCTATATTAATATAATAATTCCGTCAAGGGGTACGGTAGACTCGCACGAAACCTTATGTGAATAACAAAACATAAAAAAATATTGATATCGAGTCGACAACATATATCCGCAAAATTCGGATTATGGAGTATTTCGTTAAATTCTAATGACACTGACAAACAAACTGTAGGCGCCATCTTTTCATGTCACTAGCTAACAACCAATCAACACTACGCGTGCGTTCGCACCAAAGATCCATCACAAAGAACTGTGACATATGACATGTGGCGTTGACGTTTCGCGAAAATATAGTTTTTGACAATTTTTTATGACAAAAGAGTATACAGTTATGTGTTTTTGTTTAAATTGGCGAGACAAATTTGACAATATTTTTTATTAATTTGTTTCACGGCTCTGAATACAAGTCCTTTTTAGCCCAACTTAAAGTTTAACAATATAAATTACAAATATTAAAGTCAATGTCAAATGTCAAATAATAATAAATGTCAAATGTTGTTTCTCTGTTCTGATGAACTTATTAAAAAAAAACTTAATAACAATCACAATTTCTTCACATTTTATTATTACACACATAATGCCAGGTATATGCATTTTTTAAATAAGGTTGTGGCACTATTGGAAATTAATGTTATTTACCCATTTTTATAGGTTATAGGGAAATAATGTGTGGGTGTTTATTTAAAAAGCAATAACACCAAATTAATAAAGTATAGGTAGGTATTAATAAATATATGGTTGTTGTATGTATCAAAATAGATTTTGTTATTTTAATAAAGACTAACTGCAATTTTTATAAAACAAATGACCTTTTCATAGTGTCATATATTATTTAACTGATTGTAAGAAAAAAAATGTTGGTTCGTAGATTAATACTGTAAAAATTACTATTTGTACGGAAACGACAAAAATATATATTTGTTCTGTATAATACTACGACAGCAGTGGAAACATTAGTATATGTACGTAAATTATACAATTCTGTTATAGAAACGTCATATTAAACTTTAAAACTAATTTGTTACAATAAAAGTTTCCGATTAAACAAATCGGTATGGCTACCCCGCTACAGGTGGTAACATTTTTTTTGGTTCTGTTTAACCTTAATCGGAAAGGCAAAGGGAACTGTGCCCATACAGCCGAGGTGGTAACTTATTTGAAAATTTGACATTTAAACCTGTCAATTTAGTCTCCCGGATTAAAAAACAAACTATAACCAAGTATGACACTTACAAATTAATTACTAAGCTGCTTGGTGTCCCTGTAGCCACAAACCCCGCATGTTTATGGGGGCTCGACCCCAGAGTGGGAGCATAGCAAATGGATAGGAAAAAGAGGAAGAAGGGGAAAAGGACGGCGGTGAACCACGTCGTCGTACTGAAAGAGCGACAAAACTAGGAACTCGACAAATCCCGGAGAGTTGCGCGGACTAAATAAAAAAAAAAGAATGTAAATGACAGAATGAAAAGAATGGGAAAGATGTTTAGATGAAGCAATTGGTTTTAAATATCTGGTAAAATAGAGAGTGCTTAAAACAAAGAGGTTAACAGAGAATAAACCTTAAAAGTTATAGTGTTTGTTAATTTATTTTGAATGTTGATTTAAAATAAAAATTATTTGTATAAATAATTTTGCATTTATTTATTTACTATACTATATATATATATTAAACACAATGAACGAAGCTTTACGTATACGGTTTACAGGAAGAGCACATGTGCGCGGACGGCTGCAACTGTTACTGGAGCGAGGAGGAAGGCAGCGGCGTCGTCGCCGACTGCTCGCGCCGCGCCCTCACCCGGCCGCCGGCCATACCGCGCCTCGTACTCCTGCACGCAGGCGGCAACTACATTCACACCGTCCACCGCGACTACCTCAACGACACCCTACTTGTGAGTATGTATATTCTGTATTGATGACAATGCAATGCTGCACCCGCCTGCGCTGACGGTATACGCTGGCGGGGCACCAGTGGAGCATGATAAGACGAGCACGAGGTCAAGTCAGTTAGCACATCGTGTCGAATTCACCAGAAATTTGTCATTATGGTTTCCAGGGGGAACCGCGTGGAGGGCAACCTGACATGGGACGTCGCTAGCAGTGAGGTCATCAGTCCACATTACTAGCGGTCCCTTTTCCCCCGACTTGTGATCATAGTGCGACCCTAATATAACGTACCTCAACATTACCACTTCCTCCATTTAACAGATTCATCGTAATACCCTTCAATTGTCCATAACAGTCAATGGAAAATATACCTTTACATTGCGGACTTTTTTTGCGAATAATCTCTTTATAACGAATTTGTAACTATCAAGAAATAGTACAAATACCTCTAACTAATGAATTTTGTGAACCCGAAACCTTTATATAAAGTTCCCACCGTTGTGTGAGTTTTAATCTCATTGTATGTGATTCATGGTGCGACAGTTTTCGACGAGCTTTTGTTTCGTTGCTGCTCGTCACTACTGTTAAAGATTCAGGTTGAACTGGCTCAGAAACGTTTAAACTCTTTATAATGAATTTCAGACCGACGTAACCTCAACATAACAAAACTCAGTTCAACGAATTACTTGATATGCCGAATGTTTAGTGTTTACTTGTTGTCTCGAGGTTGCACTGTACGAGTATAGCATACCTTTACAACTACCATCCCAGGAGAATGGGATGGTAGTTGAGGTGGTTGGTGGAAGGCGGATGGTAGTGGTGGAAGGTCAGTGGAGTGGCAACCCTCCACTGACCCATGGGCATGCCAACCTCGCGGTTGTACTGGCCTAATCTGCGAGGAATGCGCGTTGAAAAGCACGGATTCTCTTGACACCTACAAATTATATCAATCCCTGTACCTCTGATCGCACTCTCCCGGACGGGAGAGGGCAGCGGACAAACATTCACGGCTCCGGTGCCTGGCAGCACTCCTGAACTCTCGCAGCCTCCTAAAATTCTCCTCCGAAGACACCAAGTCCGGGTAGTACACCGGACCCTCCGCTACCTTCACCGCGATGTTTCCCCTCCAGCAGCGACCCTCTTAGGTCGGAAATGTCGCAATAGAGCGAGCACTCCCACAATCCACAATTATTTACATAATAGTGAAACGTTTTATACACAGGAGTTGGACCTCCGGAACAATAACATATCGGCCATACCGGCGGAGGTGTGTGCGAGGTTGTTCTCTGTTCCCGAGCGGCTCGTAATGCTCGCCGGGAATCCGCTGCAGTGCAACTGCGACAACCAGCCGCTACTACGTGAACTCTTACACCACAGAGACCAGGTACCAGCAGTGATTACATACAGTACATACAGTACATACAGTACGGACATCGGATAGGATATTGTCCACTACACACACACGGACCACGAGTAACCTGACACTGAGGGTGAGTCTGACGCAGCCGGAGTCGGGTCACAACGCGAGTTTCAAGTCGTTCGTGGCCCGGCTCCCACCAACGTGCTGCCCACCTTCATGAATGGCCGTCAGTGCCGGCAGTGCCGTGACCACATACGCTTTATATTTTATAATATTATTAGTATTTCACATGTATGTACTCGTACATATGTTAGTCTGTCTATACATATAAATAAGATTGGAGTGTCTCTTTGTAATATTGGAATAATCGTTTTTTATTACATGCCTATGAATATAAATGGTGTATACGGTACATACACCAAAATAACATTTTTTACAATTCTTGTCTGTCTGTCTGTCGGTCTGTTTGCTCCGGCTAATCTCTTAAATGGCTGGACTGATTTTGACGGGACTTTTTTTGGCAGGTAGCTGATGTAACGAGGAGTAACTTAGGCTACTATTATTTTAGAAAAATTCTCTACAAATGGACTATCCAACACAAAAAAAATAATTTTTCAATTCGAACCAGTAGTTCCTTAGATTAGTGCGTTCAAACAAATAAACTCTTCAGCTTTATAATATTGGTATAGATAGAGCCAATCCAAAGACTAAACATGCGTTTTTTTAAAATGTATGTAAGAGTGATGACTTTTATCGTGTATTTTCAGGTGGACTACCAACACCTGAAATGCGGCGACGGGAAGTTGCTGAGCACCATTGATGTACAGATGTTGTGCCTGATAGGTAAAGAGATACATAACACAAAAGAAACACAATTATTAAACATGATACGAAAAGAGATCTATATCGTACTGAGTGTGTTGTTGCTGGCCGCCGGATACGTGTACTCTGACAAATTGAAGGAATTGATACGCCTATGCAGGCGAAAGCTGTGCCAGTGCTGCATGAGGGAGTAGGACCTCCACGCAGTGATAGGGAGTTTGCGTACGAACTGTTGGTGCTTCAGCTGCTGTCTGGACCGTCCCCGTTCAAGCTGTGCGTCCACATGGAGTGACCTCACTGAACCTGACGGCAGTGAGTGTACAAGGTGTGGGTGTGTGTGAAGTGATGTGCATGTGTGAAGTGTTATTACGGAGCCCGAGTAGACTACACATAGACTTTTTAGGGCCATTCCATAATAAAACATTGCTAGTGATGATAGATTCGATGTCAAACTGGATTGAAGCTTTCCACATGCCACGCACAATGTCTGGGGATGTTATTAAAACAATTATGAGAGAAGTATGTTTATTTTTGTACACATAAGAGTATTTCTTGCATTTTTGTATTATTTTACTACTGTTACTGTGTTATACATATAGCAATATTTAGAATTACTGTAAATTATGTGGTAGGGTGTAATGTATATGTATTATATACTAGCTGACCTGGCGTACTTCGTAACGCCTAACAGTCCAATCTCTAATTTTTTAGTTTATTTAATACATACTTATTCTGTTATTCAGGACAACAGAATAAGTATGTAAAATAAAAGAAAGTTAATAAGTCAATAATTACATTATGTCAAAAAATAAAAATTATAAAGCAACTAAAATAATTTTAATAGTCAATAAAAAATTACAATTTCATATTTTTTATTATGGTACAACTTATTATATTTCATTTTATTTTTACTTATTCGAAATGAATTTTTATTTTTATTGTAGTACTTTATGATACACGATATTCTTTATGTGAATAATGGCGACTTCATCAATAGAAGGTGCACTAAAATGTCCTGCATGTTGTGTTGGCCCACAGGAGTTTTATCAGCTCTAATAACAAATTTGTGATCATCAGACGGCATCATATCTATTACACTATTGATGGAGAAATACCTTGCAGTCGTTATCTGGCCTGGCACTGGTAACAGTGGACCTGCTCTGTGACATATTTGACCTTGTATCTAGAATAAAGGAAAAAAAAAATTATTGTAAAAATATACTCGTATATGGGTTATAATAGTTGTGATTACTAAATAAACAAGCACTTATTTCCACGACTTTCTGAAATTGTAAATCGCAATCGACGTGATGTTGATGAATTATGTATTGAAAAATCTACGACAAAGCTTATGCATGACGGCATATTATGTATGGGACCTAAAATAAATATATAATATGTTACGTAAATACTTGAAGAGCCTTCCCAATAATGTATTTAAAAATAAATTAAACAGGTTGTTGATTGACAAATGTTATTATAGTATATCGAACTTTTTAGATGATAAATTTGACGAAATGTTTTATTAGTTTTATATTATTGTGCATATACTTAACGTTGTAGTATGATTATTATTATGACATCATTCTTTTTTTTATTTTTTTATTATTGTTTAACATTTTAATTTAATATTAATATATTGTATGCTATCTAGGCTAAACATGTCGGACAAATTCCTTGTATGTACGAGTATATCATCTACTTATGAAATCACGCATGTTTTACTAATAAAGAATGTTGAATCTTGAATCTTGAATCTTGAATCTTAAACATACAATAGCAAACAATTGGCATGAATTTTTTCCAAACTACTTTTGTTGCTCCAAATATAATTTTAAAGCAATTGTTGTATTGTTGAATATTGTTTAAAAAGTGTATGAAATCTTTTTCTATTTCTAAAACCAATGAGTACAATGATTCTGGAGGTGGTAGCAATGGTATCAATTTCACCTGTCTATATGCGCAACACAGTCCATTAGCTCCAGTTTTGTATATCAATGCCTTACAATACTGCAAACTGAGTTCATGGCTCCAATGGTAACACTGTCAATTGAGTTATCGTAAAAGAAAGCAGCTCGATTCAAACTTGCACCATTATTAGTCGAATATAGCACTTCACGGGTCTGTCTTACCTGAATTCTTTCGCGATGAAGATGTCACTGCGATCTTCATGTTCCTGGGCAGCACGATTAATTTGATTCGTTGCATTTCGGGTTCTGTCTAAATTTTTCCGCCGCCTTATTAATAGAACTTGCAGACCTTAGACTTGTCAGTTGAACATTATCGAGACATATCTTATAAGAGGCTTGTCGAGGATAAATGAGTTACAAACACACAACACTTTTTTTTTTTTTTTCAGATGTGTAGTAATATTATAGATGCACATCAATAAGACATTTACATTTCAAGTGATATTTTATCGTTGACAACCTGTTTTGGACTAATCTTGACACATGGCTTCCCGGAACCTGTCCACTTACACTTGAACTTTATGGTATGGTAAAGTTCAAATTGACTTTTAAGTGTCATCAGTGTGGCACAATGGGGAACATTTGATAATAATTTCTAAAAAAATGCATATAGATGGCGTGATTGGTATCGATGGAATTCTTCATAGTTTTGCAAACGTTTAAAACACAAAACTGTATTTTCAAAAATGTTTAATGTATTTTTAAAAAGTTATATGTACATTTAAAACGAAATAATGCATTTAGAAAAGTAATTTTCATATATTTACTTATACTTTCATATATTTACAAATATTTAGTAAACTATCGTGTCTTTGAGGATTATCTCATACCAGGTATAACTATAAGTTGTTAAAAACTTGCATATGTATGCGTGTGTATCTTTCATATTAAAATATAATAAACATAGGTACTTGGTGACCGCTTTAATTTGGTTTTATTATGTTTATATTATTGTTATGAATGTAAAGTTCAAAAAACTAACATTGAATTTTGTTAAAGCCTGATAAATGTCTATAGCGAAACCGGCCAACTATTATTAATATTACATTTCACCGAGGCGTTATATTGAATTGTTTTTTTGTTTTTTTTTTTACTACCCGTTACAAAAAAAAATTATATTCACTCATCAGTCACGAAACTTGCATACTGTAAAAGCTTATCGAAATACAAAGATATTTAATTACTTTTCTTGAGTATTTTTATTGCTCCACGTGTCTGTAAGGACATATTTGGCGATTTTTTGCGTCATTAATAGCTTGCATATTTTGTCCTAATTATGTACAACTAGTAATAAATATATTGTTAGGAATATGCTCTAAATTTAATTAAATAAAAGAAACAGAGTACAAGAATTTATAAAGCAAACACGGTATGATACGGAGATTCGTTCGAGTGCACGTCTGTCGACCAAAAGAGGCCGCACACCGGGTTTCGCAGCCTTTTATAGACGCGCCGCACGACGGTGGCGCCACCACAGGAAGTTACAGCTAACACGGCCTCTCCTGACGGAGCATCGTCCCCGATGCTTTCTGGTCACGGCGCGTCGTCTGGTCCGACTGCTAATCTTATGCGCTCTGTCCAGGCTGAAGGTATTCTCAGGGCTATTGCTCGGAGACGAGTCAACAGTGACTCTTCACAACCTGTGAACCATAAGTTAGTGGTAAGCATTTTATTTTTGGAAGTAGGATCACGTTGCCTCACAAGGACTAATCTAAATCTGATCTAAGCATGTATACATAGAAGCCACACAAAGCTTTACACGAGAGGTAACCTATAACACACTACGCTACACAGAGCCTTACACGAGATGTATCCTATAACAAGCTGGATGCTGCACAAAGCCTTACACGAGGTGTATCTTATAACACACTCGATGCCTGCACAAAGCCTTACACGAGGTGTATCTTATAACACACTCGATGCTGCACAAAGCCTTACACGAGGTGTATCTTATAACACACTCGATGCTGCACAAAGCCTTACACGAGGTGTATCTTATAACACACTCGATGCTGCACAAAGCCTTACACTAGGTGTATCTTATAACACACTCGATGATGCACAAAGCCTTACCGAGGTGTATCTTATAACACACTCGATGCTGCACAAAGCCTTACACGAGGTGTATCTTATAACACACTCGATGCTGCACAAAGCCTTACACGAGGTGTATCTTATAACACACTCGATGCTGCACAAAGCCTTACACGAGGTGTATCTTATAACACACTCGATGCTGCACAAAGCCTTACACGAGGTGTATCCTATAACACACTCGACGCTGCACAAAGCCTTACACGAGGTGTATCCTATAACACACTCGATGCTGCACAAAGCCTTAGTCGTGGTGTTTCTTATTACACACTCGATGCTGCACAAAGCCTTACACGAGGTGTATCCTATAACACGCTCGACGCTGCACAAAGCCTTACACGAGATGTTACCAAAATACCTTACGATAAAGTTTATCTCAAAAATACAAATTACATTAGAAATACTCAAATTCCTTTTTTGACTCTGCACTATTTACATTTTATGTACTGCATCATAAGGTATTGAAAGTATAGTGGACCTGGACATTAAGTGGAGAGTAGGGTTCATTCCCGGGAATTCTCGAACCGAGAATTCAATATAAATGAAATGTATTGAAAGTATAGTGGACCTGGACATTGGGTGGAGAGTAGAGTTCATTCATGGGTTTTGTTCCCGGGAAATCAAGGTCGAGAAAAGTCGAGAATTCGAGAAATCATGTACCTATATAGAAATTAATTCGCTTGGGGCAGGATTTGGTTGGTTCGCCAGGGTTTAGCCATTGCAATGAGCGTTTCCGATTATCGTACAAGATCCACTTTCCACCACAGGAAATGATTTGATTTAAAATCCCTTCATTATTATGCCGGTTGATTAATGTAACGCAGCAGGCTACGCGCGTTTGTCGATTTACTCCATTAAATTCATGAGGGACCCACTTTTCAAGCTTTTTTTTTCACCTTCCTAATTTGCTAAAGGATTAAAACAGTTTTGTCACTAACACCGCAGCCTGCAGCTGGAGCTTTTCAATTTCTCGGGTCTCGAGAATTCTCGAGGTCAATTTCTCGGGTCTTCTCGGGTTGTCGAGAAATTTACATTTACGTACGTTTTCTCATATTATTTGGTTCCAATAACGTCAAAAAATTCAGTGGATTCCTCTCAAATAAAAGTATCAAATTAAACTTTTATTGAGTATATTTAAAAACATTAAGATTATGAATGATTTAGTACTAATTCGCAGTTTGTATTCACACATTTGAACTTAAAAGCACCACTAGTTGTTAGTG